TCCTTTTTATTCCCCTAAACAGATAAGTCCGAGTCAACAGCAGACCCATCTCTCCATTCCAGAGAAACCTTTTGTCCCAATGAAAGAGGTGAGCGTTTTATAGTGAGAGTTTTAAATTACATATAGCATTGTGCAGAAAGTCACAGTTTTGTTGTATTTTGATTATTATGTCTTAATAACCATTTTGTATTGTATTTAATTTCTAATATAAAAAATAATCCAGTTTGATGCTTTTGTTTTTTCTTAATCAACATTCTTTTTTTTTTTAATTAAGGAATATTTAATTTGGCATTTTTTGCAAAAACAAGAGATGTAGCCTGTAAAATATGACCGTTATGATATATTCACGTTGACTTTTACTCTTGCATAAAACCCCATATTGCATACTGAATCAGGAATTAATCTTTGCTGTCAGCACATTTTCTGAGCAGTTTGTCTGGCATTAGTCATTTACTATGGTTCTCTCTCCCAAACAATCCGCACAGACAATGCTGACACCAGTGACGCCTTGTATGCTTTCTTTGAGCATGCAGACTGCTGTATGTAAAATTCACTAGCTGTACTAGTATTGTGCAATTTAAAATAGTGTGGTGAAGCTGCATAAAGCCAGACATTGCAGACTTTATAAAGTTAGTCATTAAAATATCTTTTGATGGATCACGTAGATACTAGATATAAAAGCAGGAGCCCAATTTTTCTTATTTCTTGTCTTGGGGCTCAAAATTTCTGGCACCATATTTACATGTAACTAGATATACAAATAGTGGTGTCTTTTTGGTTGGCTCCTTATTGCACTTTGACAGAAAGCATGTCATTTACCATGAAGAATGGATGTGCAGTTTTCTTAATAAGAAGTAGAAAAGGGAAAATATTTGAAAAATTATGGTACCCATCATGTAGTAAAGTCTTGATTCGTTATTAATTTATTTGAAATGTTGGAAATGGTGAAATTGTGAACTTGTGGTGTATCATACCACTTGGGTTTCTATGGTTCTGTATAGAGACTTTCAGCAGATGTCTTAGAGCTGAACATGTTCCCAGATAAGTAAAACATGATACATTAAATGTTCCTCTTGTTTTTATTTGGATGTAAATCTGGGTTTACATTGCTTTCTAATTAGTTACATCTAAGTTAATAAGTTTTGTCCCCTGTTACAGTTTGTCTTACAGGTAACCAAGGTGGAGAAATCCTTCTGCCATGCACTTGTGAGGAAAGAAACTCTACGGAAGAGTTTAAATGGCAGATTGAAAATCCGCTATCACTGGTTTTGAAATTTAAACAGGAAAACAAAACATATGGGGAAAACTACAAAACCAGGGTTACAACCTATCTACATGAGAGCGACACTAACTGCTCTTTACTTCTGAGGAATATCACTGAGAATGACAGCAAAAACTACAGTTGCCGTTTTTATAAGAATAAAGAATATCAAATTCTTCATTTAAATCTGAGTAAGTCTGTTATTTAATTTTTAACACTATTAATATTAATAATTTTTTCAACAATTTAGATCGTAGCTAATCCCCAAAGCTGTCAAAAATAATTATTATAGAAGAAACCCTTTTTTATTAACATGTTTCCACTGACAGTAAATTGCTTTCTCTTTACAGAAGTCAACCAGATATCACCTACAGGTCAGTTCTTCTATTAAACTGTTTTCTTAAAAAATACAGGTAATAATAAGGTTTATTGCTGTAGCCATCTTTGAAATTATTCTAATGTTTTTTTAAGCACACAATGGTAGAGACATTATGTTGATATATGTAAAATCATAGCTGTAAATACTGTCCTCATTGTTGCTACTATTATTTATATCTTGCAGATGGAGTTTCTGCTATTCATGATTCAAAAGATGATATAACACCAACCGAAAAGAATCCTTCTAGGATGTATTTTGCAATCCTTCCAGTAATTGCTCTTCTTCTGGTTGTGGGTGTACTTAGGAATCTGTGAGTTTCCTTTTTTTAAATATTTCTTTTAAGTTTATTCTCTGCTTATTTACTTTCAAAGTATGGTATTTCAATATAGTCTGATATAGTCTTCTTCTTGTGTTTGTATGTATTTATTTATGTATTAGGGCTGCGACTAACGATTATTTTGCTAAATGATTAATCTGTCTATTATTATTTTGTTGAATTCGAATAATAATCGGATAGCAAAAGGTTCCTTAAATAATAATTTTTACAAAATTAAACCAGGTGAAAATAAAACTTGAAGAGTTCTGGATAGAGCATATTGACGGATGAAAATTCTTTATTTATCTGAAATGCAATATGTTTATATGTATGTATGTATGTATGTATGTATGTATGTATGTATGTATGTATGTATGTATGTATGTATGTATGTATGTAGGTATGTAGGTATGTAGGTATGTAGGTATGTAGGTAGGTAGTTTAACTTTTACACTTATCTGTCAACAGAAAACAAAGAAAGGATAGGAAAGCAGCCACTCAAGCACTCAACCACCCCTGAGGACATCAACTGAGGAAGTTGTGTCATAAAGCCTGTGTCGACAACAGTTGTTTCCCAACATTCAAATAAAATAGAGGTTAGATGACTTTAATCCCTGCAAGTTTTAACTTGCTGATTCTAACTGATTCTAACAACAGGTGAATCATACTGATGATCTGAACGTAGTCATTGGTTCTGACATAAGCTTTGAATTCCTCTCGGTCTTCCATATATTTAATTAATACATAGTCAAAACAAATCTATTCCCAACTTTTCTCAGAAATATCACTTTGTTTTACTCTGATTTTATTTTCATATTTATAGATGTGGTTATTATTAATTAATAGATATTACTTATGGTTCTGACATTTTCTCAGAAAATAATATTCAGCAAGATTGTTATATCTTTATTTGTTAATGAACAACATCTGTGATAATGTGAGTTTTACTGTGATTGTATCATGTTTTACTTTAATTCCATGTTAAGTTGATATAAACAGGATATTGTTCTTTTACTTTTACTTTGCATTGAAACTACCTTTTTCAAGACATGAGCCCTTAATTATCCCTTAGTGCCTAATAAGGATTATATTTTTGATTCATTTTTACAGATGATTTTGAGCAATTTGGAACATGACTCCATTAACACTGCACTGATGATATGCGCTAATAATAATTGATATAACTATTTCAAATGTGAACTTTATTACATTCTTTAAGAAAAACTGCTGATTCATCCCATTGGTTAAAATAAGAGTGTAGAAAATGTGACTGAAAGGGTCAGTGAAGTCCTGCAAGGGAAACCTGGTAAAGACTCTTCCTTCTGCTCAGTGATGAACTATCAACGCCCCTTATACCCCAATATATGTGGTAGTGACAGTTTTTATTTCTGCTTTTCCATTTTTTAAGGGGTTCTGTTCTCTGTGAAAGATGTAATCCTTGTCAATGTTTAGATTCCACTGGAGTTGATGTTCAAATGAGTCCATAAAGCTATAGAGAGGTACTAGTGAAGATCTAAAAAATTAATTAATCACCCAGAAATTCAGTGAAACAATTTACTGTACATTTCCTTTTTTAACAGAATTTAAAAGCCTGATGTAAAAAAAAAGAAACTGTTTTAATAAAGAAATGTCAAAGGAAAAGGAGTGTTTACAAGTAGTCTTATTTCTTTCTCAAATATTTTATTTCTCTTTGCAACGTAAAAAAAAAATGTAACATTTTATTACATCTGAAATAAATTTTCTGTTACCAAAATGTTCCAGAATCATCATCAATCATCATCAATTCATAGTGTATATACATACA